ACATTCGAGGTATCAATTATGATATCATTAAATAAAATTTGAATAAATTTGTATTATCATAAAAATATTAAATAAACATTGTATATCGTTCGAAGAGTTTCGAAGAAAATCACATGTTGATTTTGCCTTCGAAAAATGTAAGAAAACTCGATGTAAAAACATGGTAAGATCAAGAGCATGTAACGAGGATGTTGGCAGAGGCACCTATAACGGTATTTCCCGCTCTTTTATTTACACAAGGTCTCTTATATATCTACTCGACTTTTTCTCTTGTGATACCTCTCCTTTCTCTCTGCATTATCTTCATTCGTATGTGTATGTGTATCTGTGCGCGCATGTGTGTGTGTGTGTGTGTGTGTTACGTGCATACATACATACATACATACATACATACATACATACATATATATATATATGTATGTGATTTTCTCTGTATTGGCTATATTCCACGATAGCAACAGCTTGTACAGTCTCGATCGTTTTAAGGCGAATTCAAGTGTGCGTTCGTTCGTTCTAGCGTTCGTTCGTTTCTATGCGTAGCAAGTAAGCTCTCAATGTTAAAACCTTATAGTTAAATTCACCAGATGTCCGGCGGCCACGCGATAAGCTAAACTTGTTGCAACTTGCGAGGAACGTAATTTTAACGATATCTACTTTTGAAATTCTTCGAGTATGTCTATGTATATGACCTCATCGTGTTACCAATTTTTCTCTCTTCAATAACATCTATCCTATATCTTCTTCTTTAACGTTGAAATAAAATTTCTCAAAGTATTATTATAATCTTCTTTAATGATTCATTCTTTACTTTTTAAAATAAATTCCAACGATCTTTTTTCCCGTCTTTAGAGAAACTAATTTAATTCGGATTAACATCGATAAGAATCTGTAATTAATAATGTAAATAAAGATAAGAACGGTATACATACATACATATATATATATATATATATATATATATATATTTGTAAAAATCGTATTAAACGTGACACTTTTTTTTTAATCATTAACAAAATAAAGTTATCTACATGATAATTCTTTTTTATAAAGATCTCTTGTATTTGCTAAAAGTCTGAAAAGGCCATTTTCTTTCTCTCTTTTTTCCTTCGAAAGGTTAGCAACGTAAAGAAAAGAAAAAGAAAAGAATTGCGATTCATAGGCGGATTAGATGCGATCTACGATCGCGCCCCTTTCTCTGGTAAACATTCTCCTTCGGATTACTTACGACACGCGGGCAGAGATCGGCTCGTTCAAAGAAAAAAAGAGAAAACGTGAGTGAGAAAGAGAGATAAAGAGAGAGAGAGAGAGAGAGAGAGAGAGAGAGAGAGAATTCTGCAGGCTACTCTCGAAAGGCCAAGATGATATCTTCTAAATAAACGTTTACCTTTTGGCGTATATTCTCTGAATGACGAAGCCATAAAGTCGACGGTTAAGAGGTCTTCTTGTCACCCCCTTGCAACTCCCTATGTAACTCGATACTCATCCTCCCACACCTCCTATGCCTTTACTTACTTACTTTGTCTAGCTTTTCGCGATACTTTTTGGCAGAAGATTTACCGTGATCCATCATTTTCTTATAACGTGCTTGGCTTTCTTACTTTTTCCTTTTTCCTTTTTCATCTCCGAGAGAAAACTTTCAGAAAATAATAAAAAGAAAGGAGAGAGAGAGAGAGAGAGAGAGAGAGAGAGAGAGAGAGAGAGAGAGAGAGAGAAAGAGCAAGAAAGAGAGTTACACACATACACACACACACACACACACACATATACAAATACAATTTATCTGATTTGTCTCTTTCGTTTTTATCAATCACGTGAAGGGAATAAGAACTTGAAGGGAAAGTGCAATTTTCTAATTGGCAATTAGTACAGTAAATATCGCGAGAGTATTGAGAAATGAAGTTAAAATATCTTAAAAAAAAAGTAAAAAAAAAAAAGAAAAAAAAAAAGAAAAAAAATATCTTGAAATGTAGTTAAAATAAAGTGATGCATTTTTCATTTTCTCTTTATCCCCTTTTGGAGAAACGATGATTATTAAAACGTTTGTATCATCGAACGAAAAGCCACGTACAGATGGTTTTATTTTTTCCAATATTCATTAATGTTTTCGAACAAATAGGGACGTCAAAGAGAATGGAGCAATAACGCGTCGAATAATGCGCCGTGTGTTTTTCGAAAGATTAAAATGTAAAATTTTAAATTGCCAGTGCCGTAATTACACGTGGACCCGATTGAAAGTCGAATGAATGAAAAGTTTTAACTATGAATCTAAAGAGAGAAAGAGAAAGAGTGTTACCTATCTATAATTGTGTGATAAAAGCGTATTAAAAATCTGTTGTACGATGTAATCTATTAATTAGTCGTACGGTCGAAACGAAAATGATGAAAAAGTTTTAGATTAGGAGTCAATCTGGTACTCGTTCGTTATTCTATGTATAAAACGATCAGAGAACTTTTAAACGAATATGTACGAGCATAGATAACTCTCACATACATACATAGATACATATATAAATATATATATATATATATTTATATATTATATATATACACACAGACGCACACATATATATGCACAGAAAATCCCGTAATCTGTAACTGTTCGCGCATTAATCACCCAAACGCGTTTGCGATTCGTGACTGATCGCGCATCAATTATCTGTCCCACTTGTTACATTGTAACGTTTCTTGTTTATCATCGATCGAGGATCGATTATCGATTTCGTTCGCGTAATTTCCATTTGAACGACACTATGGGACTGCGAATTAAGCGAAGATTTATTATCGGTCTTTACCGAGAGACCAAATTCTCTCTCTCTCTCTCTCTCTCTCTCTCTCTCTCTCTCTCTCTCTCTCTCTCTCTCGTTGCAGCAAGCATCCGAAAAGTCTTGCGCGTATAAACTGAAACGGAAAATAAAGGACGTGGAACGTATTGGTTCTCGTTGTGGTTAGGTACTCGAGTGCACGGTGCTCTTATGCTCGGCGTTAAATTAGGAAACGCTAGAAACTAATTCACTTGACGTTGCTGGACCCTTCCCGTCGCAAATTCTGCATACGAACGCAAATCCTAGAAAGAGAGGAAAGATAGATAGAGAGAGAAAGAGAGAAAGAGAGAAAGAGAGTGAGAATGAGAGAGAGAGAGAGAGAGAGAGAGAGAGAACTTGCGCACGCGCATACCTTAACAAAATCATTTATTCACTGGACCAACTTTGGTTATGTGCTCGTGTCAGCCTCGCCGTTCGAGGGGGTTAATATCCTTGGAAAATTGGAATGTATTATTTAGCGAACGGCCAACCAAGGGTAATTGAATCGCACGGGCCACGCTCACGCCTCTCTCACAGAGTTCACCGATTTATCGCCAAATGAGAGATTTCCTTGTTTAGAAAAGTATCTTACGTTTAGAAGCCACGAAAGAGGATTCGATTATCTCTTCTTTTAATACAATCAAATACCTTTCTACAATGCCTTTTTACGTGCTGATTTAACAAATCTCTTTGATCTACTATGTCCTTCTTCCTTTCCTTTTTCTTTTTTTTTTTTCCTTTCTCAATCTCTCTCCCTATTTGTTTTCTTTCTCAATCTCTCTTCCTATTTCTCTTTTCTTTTTCTTTACCTTTTTCTTTTTCCTTTTCTTTTTTTTTATTTTTTTTCCTTTTTAGATTTTCTTCACCATGGATTTCGATCGGCACTCGATTTGCTTGCTTCAAGTAATTTAACGGTTTTAAAACTCAGTGCTATTCCTTTTGCGTATTCCCGTTCCTAATGATCTTTTTATTGCCGTTAGAAATCTCGAACTATTGCCTGATCTACACTTTAACTTGTTAACTTTTAGAAATCGTGATAGAGATAAAGTTGAAAAGAAATATCATTGGAACATATTGAAATTGGAAAAGATAGCGTGGAATTTTTCTTTCGAAGAGAGTATATAATTGCTTTTTTTCTTTTTTCTTTTTTTTTCAAAATTTTAACCAATTCAAAAATTTTCAAAAATTCTCAACCATACTTTTCTACAGAGAAATTGTAATTTCGAATTTTGCTCTCATTTTTCTTTTTTTTTTTTCTTTTCTTCTTTTTTTTCTTTTTTTTTTTTTTTTCTTTGCTTTCTTTATTTTATCGTCGAAAAGGTATAATTCATCCGATACTTTCGTAAAATGATCGTAAAATCGACGAAAATTCCGTTGTACTCGAACACGGCTAGCACTTCTGGAATACGTCGGCGAACTCGTTCGTTGCGGTGGAGTTTCGATTATCTCGACTCATCGAGTAACGTGCGTTTATACATAGGATACATAGAATTTCTGATGAATGCGTTGTAACGATCAATTTTTATACCTCATGGATAGAGAATAGTTTAAAATCAGAAAGAGAAAGAGAGAGAGAGAGAGAGAGGGAATGAATTTTGTTTAATATGAAACGTTTTCGTGCGATTGAGCATAACAAAAAATTAAGTGAAATTTTTTGTTTTCCATTTTTTCCCCTTGTACTTGCACTATTCAATCTCATCTCTCTCTCTCTCTCTCTCTCTCTCTCTCTCTCTCTCTTTTTTTTTCCCGAATTTTATACATTTTCGAAGAGACAAATCACAGGTAACAAGAGTAACTCGTACCTAAATCGATTTACTTTTCCTTCCGGGTTTCAATTCTCGGTGGATCCACAGTGTGTTTCTATGCCGATCGATCAACGATTTCGTTTACATTTCATTTGCTCGAGGATGCGAGCCTTTAAGTTACCAATTCGCTATACTTATCAATCGTGATAAATAAAAATAAAATGTCCACGATGAAAAGCTTCGAATTAAAGATCTTATTTTCTGAAACAAAAAAGAAAGAGAGAGAGAGAGAGAGAGAGAGAGAGAGATAGAGAAAATAGATTGTCGATTGAAAAACAGGAAATTTGTAATCACGTAAAAAAAGAAAAAAAGGAAGAAAAAGAGAAAAATAATTGTAAAATAAAATAACATATTAATTGTATATGTACAATGTATAATAAACTAAAGGCGAGAAATAAATCGATGTCACCATAATCATAATTCCAGCCCGTATACTGATTTAAATAATTCAGTGTATATCGCTATTTGTTGAATAATGAAACACCTGTACGGACACAGTAGACAAACTGAGCGTATACGCGTAAATCATTTATGTCATTCAACATTGACGATCAAGGTCATAAATATTATCCATCAAGAACGTGCTTATGTTATTATACAACAGATACAATGTTATATGAACGAACAAAGTATGTTAAAGCGTTTATAATTTTACAAATTTGTTATAACATATTTTATATCATAATTATTTTAATAATGAAAAATAAAACTTATCGTTTCGATATCGATGAAAAGTATTAAATAAAGAAAAAAAAATCTTTTCTATTTCATTTCCTATCGCATATCTAATTTTTTGCAAAAGGCAAATATTTCCGAGACATTTTATATATATATATATATATATATATATATATATATATATATGTATATATCATTCTGAGAGACATCTAATAGACGAATAAATACTCGAATTGTATTTCGTCTAGAGATCACGAATTTCGTCGGTCGCACGCAAAGAAAGCCCAAATAGATTTGTTCGTACCAAAAAGTATACTCAGGCACGAAACTATAGATCAAGTGGTCGCCCCCGAGATTCCGTTTTCCTCTTAAGATCGAGTCGTTTGTCCGCTGGCAGATCCATCAGCACTGCCATAAATCACGACCGCGTGCACCTAGAAAGAGAAAGAGAAAAGAGAAAAGAGAGAAAGAGAGAGAGAGAGAGAGAGAGAGAGAAAGAGGGAGATAAAGAAAGAAAGAAAGAATGAAAGAAAGAAAGAAAGAGACTACTCTCTCGCATGCTCTCGCGCCCGTGAAGCCTTTATCAAAACAAATCTGTATGCTCGACTACCGTGGGAATGGACCGGAAAATTTGTTTAACGGCAGCTGCAATGTAGACCGACGTAAATTCGTCTTTGCCGCATGTTCTTTTTCTCTCTTTCTCTTTCCTTGTCTTTTTCTATATAAGAGGTATCAAGAGACATTGTTTCTCAAGAAAATGAGAAAAATGAAGGAAAAGGAAGAAGCGAAGGTGATAGTGTCAATGTAAAAGAAGTCGAGAGAAAAGTTGCGGAAGGTATAAGAGTAAAAAAGAGAGATAGGTAGATAGGTAGATAGATAGATAGATAGATAGATAGATAGATAGATAGATAGATAGATAGATAGAGAGAGAGAGAGAGAAAAAAAGAGAAGCAAAAGAAGAGTATAATGTCCTGGACGTAAAATGGGCGAGGAAACAGCGAGCCGTGCACGGCTTCGACTCAATTAAATGATCGTCTTCTCCTCGAGGGTCCCAGCGGAGGCACCAACCATTAATTTCGAAACACAGGGAACAAAGGGTCTACCTGGATATTCTTTCGGCTTTTGTTTTTCCCTTTAATATTTTTCTTCTCTACTCTCGTTCTATCTCGCTCTTGCTCCTTTCCTACCGTACCTTTTACCATCTCGACCTGCTACTAAGAGAAAGAGAGAGAAAGAGAGAAGGAGAGAGAGAGAGAGAAAGAGAGAAGAGGGCTTTAGCCGCAGGATAGCAAGAGCAAGGAAAGACAAGAAGGAAGAAAAGTAGAAGGAGTAGGAGGAGGAGAAAGAGGAGGAGAAAGAGGAGGAGAAGGAGGTTGAGGTGGTAGAGGACGAGGACAACCTGTTCAGCCCACGGCTACGTTTCTCTTCTCCTGCGGTAGCGAGAAAGCCTCCTCCATCCCAAAGCCGCCACGCTTCTTTCTCCCCTCTTCGTGGTATATAACCACGCGTATACTTCTGATCGACTCGTCCAAGTAAAGCTTCTCTCACACCGAACGACCCATTAATATTCTTGTGAAAGCATAAGGAAGAGCTTGCTTAGGCGTGGCTCGATTCTAGTCATCGGGCCAACCAGGTAATCTTTATGTATATATATATATATATATATATATAAATATATACATCTCTTTCTCTCTCTCTTTCTCTATACTTTTATTCCTATCTACATCTTCTTCTTTTTCTTCTTCTTTCACTTCTTTTTTTTTCTCTCCTCTTCCTGATGGATTAAAGTATTCAAATGACAGTGAGAAACTCAGGATGTTAGTTTCAGGATATCGAGAACTAGAAACGTATCGTTTGATTCGCGACGAATGAATCTCTTGATTTCCTGTTAAAATTCTTGAGATATTTCTAACGGTACACGATCGATTGATATCTAAATATCTATTATTTGGATTATTCATTGTATCAGTGATAAATTAATAATTCCTCGGCTTTCACGATGTTTCGATGTTTCAATGATATTAATATCGTACGATATAATAAAGCCGTTCAAAGGTATCGCTTTGGTAATCTCCGAAAGAATTTGATGACGGAAAAAAAGAAAAGGTGAGAATTAGTTGCGTGGGATTTGACGATGAGTGCGAGAACCGGTTCGTTCGTTCGTTCAGCCGAAAGAGCGATTTGTTTGCACGAAACAGGCTGAGCCTACCTTTCTTTTTATGTAACAGTTCTTTTACCAAGGTATGAAGTAACCAAAAGGATTTTTTTTCTTCTTTTTCTTTTTCTTCGTCTTTTATTCTACGATCAGATTAGACATTCTACGATACTACTATTATTCGCGACAAAATTAGAATGTTGATTATTTGATTTGGAGGAATCATTTGCATTCGTATGAACGAACGAACGAACGAATGAACGATCGATCGATCGATCGATAGATCGATTTGTTTCAACGTTTGATCTTCGTTCTATCAGTGGATAATACTCTTCACGGTAAGCCATTGTCTACGTGTGTACACTTGTTAGAGAGAAAAGAGGAAGGATCTATTTGTTTAGTGATCTATGATACCAAGTTTAATTTCTAAGGGAGGACAAGAAAGAAAGCAAGAAAGAGAGCGAGAGAGAGAGAGAAAGAGAGAGAGAGAGAGAGAATAGGAAAGAAGGAGGAAGAACGGAAGGGTGACTATGAACTGGATCTAACAATACAAAACGAGAAACGTACATTACAATTAACTTTCACTTGCATCGATTTCCATTAACGACATTCTCGTTCTACGTCCGTTTTGAGTTAATTAAATTTTTCTTTAGATCAAATTACCAGCTATTTTCTTTTATTTTTATTTTCTTTTCTGTTTTTTTTTTCTTTTTTTTTTCTTCTTCTCCTTCTTCTTCTTTCATGTCATATCGACGTTCGTTTAGTTTGTATAAAAGAATCAAAAGAGCTCTGATATCGTCCAATTAAGATAAAATCCACGGATGAAATTCGAAGCTTCAATGATAACGTAAAGTCACAAATTTTTCTTCCTTATAATCGTATCTCCGATAGACTGGATCATCCTGTAGGACATAGAAGAAGGCTATGAAGCTGTTATAATATGTGTGTGGCTTGAGATGGGCGAACTGTAAAATGATAGATGACGCGTAAACGTGCTCAGATAGACATCCGACAAGTAACAGGGAAGAGCCGGAAGGAAAACGTAAAATTCAGCTCAAGCGCAAAGATAAATGTCGTAAATCCATCTATACGAGATATTGGCCCTTGATCGGTCAACCATAACGGCACTTATGTGTATGTTCATTCTCCAAGATTTTTCAAGATCATATTATAACGTAACGTTAATTTTTCATTTGTATGTTTGCTTGTGCGTGCGCGCATGTATCTGTGCTTTCGTTTGTTGTGTGTCGTGTTTTGATCAAAAAAAAAAAAACAAAAGAAAAAGAAGAAAATAAAAAAACAATTAATCTTTCTTGTTTCCTCTTGTACTATATACTTTTCAAGTGAAAACAAAAAAGGCGAAGAAGAAGAAAAACCGATATGCTTCTGGACCGGCTTATCGTACCTAACATTCGTCTAAACACGACATTTGTCCAAGCTCAGAGTCGGATTTACGGAATGATTAAAGTGCTCGATCTTGCAAGGAGGAGAGAATGAGAGAGAGAGAGAGAGAGAGAGAGAGAGGGAGAGAAAAGACGAACTAACGTAGATAGAGATAGAAATCAAACAAAGGAGGGAGAGAGAAAGAGAGAGTGAGAGAGAAAGAGAGAGAGAGAGAGAGAGAGAGAGAAACAAAGTGGAAGAGATACAGGGAGAGACAGGAAACGAATGTGATTCGCTTGGACGAGCAATTTACAGCTCGAAGAATATGGCCCCGGCGTGTAAACCGCATTGAAATTCACGGCAAGCACGGAACTCCACCGGCGTTGAACTATGGGCAAGCTGTTGCAAGCTACTGTTTTCTCTCTGTCTTTGTCTTTCTCTCTCTTACTCACCCTCTATCGGTACCGTTTCTCTCTTCTCCTATCTTCTCTTTCTCTCTTTCTCTTTCTCTTTCTCTTTTGCTTCGTGCAACCCCTGATATTTCGTGGTGCGCGCGCGCCCGTACACACTGTCTCCGTCTAGTTGGCATTTAATTCTTGCCGCACCCCTTCCTTCGAAATCCATTTAAAATCCCCAGGAGGTAGAAACTAAGAGATAGAGAGAAAGAGAGAGAGAGAGAGAGTGAGATTGAGAGAGAGAGAGAAGAGAGGAAGAGAGAGAGAGAGAGAGAAGAGAGAGAGGAAGAGAGAGAGAAGAGAGAGAGGAAGAGAGAGAGAGAAGAGAGAATTGTATTGTGATATACGTTCATACGTATATGTATGTACATGTATACTACGGAACTTATGTTTCTACGGGACGGAAGAACAATGACGGAAGTCGCCCGTGGAATGTATCGGATATATACGGACGACTGTGAGCGTAACGTTGTGGATATATCGAGTTAGAGAGAAATCCTCGTGATGCTTTAAACAGTTAGAAGAATGACGTTGTTTATACTACTGTATGATATACTTTTCAAAAGCTTTGTCTTGTTTATTTAAAAAAAAAAAAAAAAAAAAAAAAACAAACAGTAAAAAAAGAACAATATTTTTGTTTCTCTTTTTGTTTTTATAACATGAAAATAAACATTGTAGATTAATTAATAGTCAATAATCTTTAGATTGTAATAATAGATAATATTGAATGGATATTTTCTAATTTGGATTATAGCATATCGTATGTATCATTTAAAGCAGATAAATATATATATATATATATATATATTTTTATGAATATAATTCTTTCAATCGAATTATTTTTTTATTTATTTATTTTGTTAATTAAATGAAGCTTCGTTCGATAGTTTTAAATGAAGATAATATAGTACGTAGGATTAATTTGCGAATGAATTTGTGTATTTCTTTTATTTTTTTTTTCTTTTTTTTTTCCCCTTTAATTTATTTGAAAATTCGATTTCTTTCTTTCTTTTGTTTGTTTTCTTTTTTTTTCTTTTTTTTTTTTTTTTTTACTATAAGACAAGAAGATCTCTTACGATTACTTTATTTATATTTTCTTTCTTTCACCTCTACGTCTAGTTTCTTCACGCACGAAATCTAGATTAAATGGTACGGTCCAGCGAGCAAACGTTGAACGCTTCACATGATGGAAAGCAGCGACCACCTGGAAGGTGGGAAGAAGAGCGGACGCAAGAGAGTAGAGTGTATATATATATATACATTATATACATGTATGTATGTATGTATGTATACTATTATATCTACCATAATATTCTCCGATGCTTCTCCGATCTATTATCCACGCCCTTACCCTTTCACTCACTCATCCTCTCGTCCCTTGACCAACGACGTAGCTATTCTCTTTTACTTCCACAAAACGTTCTTTCGAGAAACGTCACAAAGAAACTTAAGGAGGTGCTTCGAGTAAACAAAAAAATGATGCGAGTAAAAAAGAGTTCTTTTAGAAAGCCGCCAACAATTTTCATAATATTTCTTAATACCTCGACGATGACCATTCTAACCGACCTATTTCTCTCTCTCTCTCTTTGTCTCATCTTCAAATCTATCTGTCATTATGACAAGAGAAGGAAAGATGAAAGAAAAGAAGAAGGACAGATCTGGTAAAGAGTTGTCTCTCTATTGTAATTGAATTTCGATTCGATTTTAATATATCGATAATTTTAATTAGTCTCAAATTAGTCTCGATAAGATGTAACAGGTGTTAAGATAAATACTTAACTATTATAATTACTTTCTGCGATAAGATTACTTGCTAACATTCTTTAAAATATCTTCTTATATCTCTCCCTCTCTCTCTCTCTCTCTCTTTATACACACACACACGTATATATATATACACATACATATGTATATAACAATAACAAAAGTGATAAATATTGCTCAACCAGGATATCTTTATCACGACGTTAATGACATAACGTATCTCTCAGAATGCGTTTCCTGCTTCGAGTGCATACAGATTACGGTGCAGTAATGCAGGTCATAAGTCAGTGTATCCTGCAGGATATATGAACCAATTATGGGTTAATCTTTGCCACATAGACACTACGAAGCACAATAAGGGAGCGACTTTACCGCTAGCCACCCGATAACAGACGTAATAAATAAACGTATCCGCGTGGCACACGTACAGTGTTCGAACTATGCGACTATGAAAATCGCCAAGGGCTATTTGCCTTGGTACTACCCCTCCCCTCCCTCTACACCCTTCAATTCTCCTAAATATCCTCTACGTTCTCTTTATGATTTATAGGAATATCGAAATTTCGATTCTTTCTTTTCTTTTTTCTTTTTATTCAATTAAAAATTTGACAAACAAAAAAAATATCAAATTGCAATTATTTTACGAATAAAATAATAATAATAATATCTTTCAAATAACAATTACGAAGGGATACAATTTTTTTGAATATTTCGATCAACGTAGAAAGCAATTAAGTTAAAGTGTGATTCGAATCAAGTCCGATTCCCCTTTTTAATGAATGTAATTTTTAAAAAGTTGATTCGATTGGAGTTTAAGTAAAAAAATTCATACGATGATGATGATAGGAGCTCACTTGTACGCCACCGACCGGTATGCGTGCGTGCAAAGGAAATTTAAGTATACCGGCTCGACGAGTTAAGTATAATACGAGCTCTATAACTCTCTCTCTCTCTCTCTCTCTCTCTCTCCTTCTCACATATATAAGAATATATATACAGACATATACACATACATACTCTAAAGCTGCAGCTTGCTCTCGTAGCGGCAGCATCGCTCGCAGCGGTTCTACGTCTTGCAATAATCTTTCTGCGTTACCCAGTATATCCCAGCATCCGTTCTTCTTCTTCTTCTTCATCTTCTTCTTCTTCTTCTTCTTCTTCTTCTTCTTCTTCTTCCTCTTCTTCTTCTTCTTCATCTCTTGTGTTATTATTATTGTGCAGGAGGAGGCTACGGTGGGTATCTTGTCAAATCGAGCAGGTGTTTCACCCGGGCGGCCTTTCTACCCTCATCCTAGCGCTTACTATATATTTTGACGATTAGTTCTGGACCGAGCTTCTTCGAAGTGCGGAGGCTGCTTACTCCCTTCCTCATCCCATTCTCTTCGTCTCAGGGACGCATCCAATGATTCTCGTTTACACGAATCGCATTTAAATTTATACTTTTTTATTTTATCTATTCAACACAATTATCTATTTATTTATATATGACGAATAAATTTTTATTAGATTCTACGAAAAAGTGAAATTTTATGTTAAACGTTTGATTAAATAGTTTGATTAAACACACACACACACACACATACACACACACATATATATATATATATATAAGATACATACGTAAATGACAAAATGAAAGATTTGTAATAGAATCGTCGTGCTAGGGCCGACGAATTTTATTATACGTAAGAATAGAAAAATAGACAAAAAGTAGAAAGTAGAAGGAGAATATGAACTAAAGAAAAAAAAAAGAAGATATAGTTTTAAATATCATTTGGATGAAGGTTAGGTAACGTACATAAGTAACATCAAAGATGTACAGGTAATGTCAGACGAGTCTTGCATAAACGTCTTCGCAAGTCATGTTTTATGAAGCAAGATCGTAAAGGATTTTATAGCGAGCTCGTCTCGCTTCACCAAACTCTCTCCACATTATTCTCCCTCTTATCCTCTCTATCCTTTTCGTCCTTCCATCACCAAACTCCAGACGACCGAGAAGAACTCCGTTAGCAGCGATACTAATTTCAACATTAATGTCCGTCGCCTATGGTGGGCGCGAAGGGGAAACGTTTAACTTCCATGCTACTTCTTATTAACTTTTTAAATTTGGTAGGACGAAGGTAGGGAGAGGGAAGGGAACTTTACGATCGTAGAAAGCCGAAGAGAAACGAGTTACGAGAAAATTACTTGAAACTTCGACATTATGCTCGAACGACAATTGAGTTCAAACTGTTTCGAGAGAAAGAGGGAGAGAGAGAGAGGGAGAGAGAGAAAGAGAGAGAGTGAAAGAGGACCTTTGACTGACGTACGAAGGACATCGTTTACCTTCGAAACGTATCTATACCTTTAACATTGATCACTGTAATCATAAGGATTACAACAGATTAACAGAAGAAAGTTTGTCCTTTCGTGAGAGT